CACTGTGAGGCTCTTCTCCAGAGCAGTGCAGTGTTGATAGCACTATGACAGACACTGTGATGCCCTTCTCCTACAGTAACAGCACCTTCTCCTGAGCGGTGTGAGCACTGACCTGCCGCGACTGAGAGAAGAGCAGCACTCGGTGGCCCTGCTTGTGCCACAGCCGCAGCAGAGACTCCACGACAATCAGTTTACCAGAGCGCTTCCAGTACCCAAAGCGCTCCTCCTCAGTTAGCTGCTCATCCGGAACCCCCTTCAGGATCATAGGGCCACCAGAGAACAGGTCTGGGTGATTGCAGATCTTCCTCAGAGCTATCAGGCCAGAGAACACCTGGAAAGAGAAACCAGGCCAGCCTGAATATCCGGGGTTCATACCCATTGGCAGCCATTCACCTGCTCAGCTTGGGGGTCCATGGTTCAAAGAATCTCCCTAAAACATTGGGGCAAACTTTTGATTCCTCAACCAAAAAGAAGCTGTGTCCGCTGTTCCTTCACCAGTGGACTGTTTATAACAAAGCTTACAGTGGATCTGCTGACCGGACCAGATCTTACCATATCATTTGAATGAACACTTTCTACATATTTTGTATTTGCTTTCAGTTTTAACCCGAGAACCTTTTGGAAGTAACTCATTGAAAAGCATATAAAAAAACGATTTCACTTCCTTACATTTGTATAGATTTGCTTTATTCAAATTAAACCTTTCCTAAGCATTCTTCAAAGCCTGGTCTTCCATCAGAAAATCTACCTAAAATGTCCAAAGTTCTCAGAAACAATGGGGTATATAATACCCATTAATGTAAATATCCTTAAGGAAGAAAAAATGATTTCTCTTCTGGTAGCTTGGAAACTGAAACAGAAACGTCAACAGACTACACATTAAAAATTCAACTTAATGGACTTTAGACCACATTAGGGTTTGTAAACTGCACATCTATCCCCAAATGACCTCTAGAGCACTTGGGACAGTGCAATAAATTGCCTATTTCCACCTCTCCTTTCAAAACATGAGAACTAAATAAGAAGGAGAAAAGATAAAGGAAATAAACAAATTGTAACACGATTATTAAACAACATGCAAATTAAAATAACACGTTTGTCCTTGGACAACATTCACACTCAATCAGAGCAATGACGTAAAACTGGACTGACAGACACGGCTCAAAGGAACATTTGACCATTCTATATTTTTTTATTTTTAGCAGCTAAGTGATCCAAAGATCTCATCCATCTGTTTCGTGAAAGAATCCAGAGTATCAGTTTTAACAACATCAAGAACATGGAAGGGGACTGTGTATTTGACATCCTGGTCCAATGAGAATGGCTGAGTCTGTCCTGCTTGCAGTGCTCTCTCACACAGCATTTTTCATCATGACAGATATGCAACCAGTAAACAGATATCCACATGCTCTATCAGATAAGTTCCCTCCACTGCTGATACAAAGCAGCATTACTAACCTGATCATAAAGCATTCAAATGTTTTTCCTTGGAAAATAAAGAAAACTATATACACAACTGTCACCCTTGAACACGGACATATCAACGTTTGAAGTTATGTTTGTACGGCGTACTGCTAAAATCTTGCTACATGAATGTTTTATGATAATTGGTAATCCTAATTTTAATCGCTATTATTTGGATGCTGTTTTGCATTTCAAAATGTATCCATTCTAAATATTTTTTTTCTGGATATAATGTGCAATAAAAGCACCTAGTGAGCTCAAATGTTCAGGTCAAACAGCTGAATAATTGATGAAACATTTGCGAGTTACTGGAACACAGAAGTGTGGCAGAAGCAGGCAGAAGTGGAATCGTGTTGTTTCCTTTCCTTCTGAAGTGTGCATGGCACTGTTCCGAGATGTCCTTACCGCACACGCGAAACTGCCCCTGCATTCGAAGGAAGCGGGCCCTTTCAACAGACCGCTAAAGAGAGTCGTCGAATTGGCAAGCTTATGTAAAAATAATGGGCCGGAATCTCTGCATCTGCGTCAGTCACAGCTGAGGGAAGACGCAACAGTCCCTGTACCCAATAAACCAGGACTGTGTGGGAGAACTAAAAGTGTTTGGATTCAACATGTGCCGATCACTGATAAAGACAGGGTGATGCATCAGAGTAGTGAGGGCACTTTCCTGAAGTACTGAACAAGCATCTACAATGCCATTCATCAGACTCCCTGTTTGCATTACGAGAGCTGCACACAAAAAAGGGAAGTGGCGCAACAAAGCTTTAATAATCAGCGCTCACTGTAGTGGATTTAGTAAGGAAAACCAGGCTTAGTTATTCAGATTTCTTTTATACCCAATACTATTATAAAGAAAAAAGCCACATAGTCCAAATAATGCTCAAAGTAAACATACCTTTGTAAACCACCGGAATATTCATTACACATTTCAGAGGAAAACATAAGACTTTATTAGTGAGGGCAACTATACCTGCATCTCACCATTCAGGATCTGATAGACCTCTTTGGAATCTATGAAGGTTTGGTATACCTGGCGCTGCTCTTCTGTTAATCGGCAAAACAGCACCTTTTGAGGGGGAACAGAAACAAGAAAATTATTAACTGAACATTTTAAATACAGAACATAGATTAACTTGCCAAAGTAGGCTTTTAAGAGGCTCATATCATACGGCATCATACAGTATGAATATAGTTAAAATTAAGAAATGTTATTCTGCAGTATCAAAAGTGTCTGGAAAACATTATGACACTCGGAACAGAAATCAAGTCATGTCATCTACGCTTAAGGGAGGTTAAGAAAGGTCAAGTCAAACAGTAACACGGCACTGGACTCCACTCTATTGGCAAAGCTTACCTGCTCATTTTTGTCAGGCAGTGAAAGGTTTGTTTTGACATCTGCCTTCATCCTTCGCAGGAGATATGGGTTTATGGTGTCTCGCAATACGCAGGCACACTTATAAGCTGTCTGTACCTATAAAGATAAAACGTCAAAGTACCGCCACATGAAAACGATTTTGCAACTTCTGAGATGTGAAACAATTCACATTGTGGTCTTTCCATGTGGTCACCTCATAACCCTCATTAAAAAAAGGACTTTAGACGCAGGCAGGTTGTAGTGCCAATGTTGTCTGTCTTGTATCGTACCTACTGTAGGAATGTTCAGTCAATGGCACTGGGCTGCACTCAGAGCCGAGATATAGGAGGTCTCAGGAACAGGCTCCAGAAGAAGTTATGCAGAACTCGGCAGGCCCAACCAAAAGCTTTGACCGGTGCCAACCATAAAATTTCACCTTCTTCTGCTGTTTTCATTCAGCAGATCGACACATTAAAGATTCATTTAAGTGCTGCTTCTCCCAAGGGGGGGGAGCTCTCTTCTATCTCTGCCGTTAGCCTAATCCTGTGTTAGGCCAAATGCCTTTTACCAGTAATCTAACAGGGCCTAAAGATCAAAAGAAACCAGCAGGAGGCCTGCAGCCCTGGAAGACACCAGACAATGAGTGGAGATTAGTGCCCACTTGAGACGACAAAAGGCAGTGAGAGGCCGAGCTTGTGATCACAGAAAAATAAAAGGCCATGCTGATCTTAAGTGAGCATATGCTACAATAATGAATCATCTGTGAAGTGCTACCCGCATGATGTACAAGCTCACTGCTAATTTACTAAAAGCATTTAAGAGGATGAAACACGGAGCAATTAAAATTATTGAATTAAAAACTATTTGTAATTGGAACTCATAATCTCATGAAAAAAAAACAATCAAAAATGCATGAAGACATTAATTTAGAAGGCAAGGAGCTTAAGTCAAGTGTTTGCTTTCTTACACCCTTACTTTATCAGTACAGAACCACGTCATTAAAACCATGAATATGTAGTAAAAGCTATCATCTGGCTGTAGATAACAAATGAAGCTGAATGCAGTAAAACGTGAATATTTCAACAGCGACCTTTATTAAAATCCCTTCTTCACGTTAAAAAGGACAATTTGAAATGATTTGTGAGCCGACATATATTTTCTTCTGTGATCACATCTTTCCTCTGACTACGATTCCAGCCTTCCGTTATTTCTCACTATTTGCTATTGAATAAATCCGCGTCTGAAACGTGGTAAAGAAAAATAAAACACAAACTCAGCAGAACGTAGGGAGGACAGAGAAGCTGGGAACAGACAGCTGAGAAGCATTTGCTGCTAAAGGCATTCTAAATGAACAGTGAAGTTAGCTATTTCCAACCATTTAATAACATTAATAATTAGTAAAGGTTTTCATTATTGGCTGGGGAAGGAACATCAATATTCCTTTTAAGGCATCGAAGAAAGTAAATCTATACGGTCAGTGCATTATTGAAAAAGGTCCGCTGATAAAGACACTAGCTTATTCCTTTCACAGCCTGGCACACACATCCTTTTTTCCATGTGCCCTAAATGGCCTGTATTAAAAGCTAAAAAAATTAAGTGCATTAGCCCTTTCTGGATTGCTCTACAATCAATTTCAGTTCAATATTTATATTTTAGATCAGTGTCCTATTGGTAGATGCCTTCTCAGCAGTTTACAGGCACAAACAAAACCCGACGCAGCCTGTTATTGGGGATCAGATAATAAACTCAGCACAAAAAGAACATTTATATCTTGATGCTACTGAAGTATTTAGCAGACTCTCTGCAGCAACAAGAAGGTTGGCTGTGCACAAACAGCCACTGCTGCAGAGCTGCCGAGTTACCACAGGGCTTGATGGGCCAAAAGCCTCCTCTGTTTTGCAACGGGTGACGTGGAGACATGGCTGGACACCACCTCCTCACAAGCCTTGACTCCTGGCCTCTGTCCCTGTGACGGATTCTCACTGCCTACTTCCCAGGCTCGGTGCGGACGGTCCCAACTGAGCACCTCGCTCCGCACCGACTGACTCCGCAAACCTGCGTTCTGTACTGCTGCTGCCGACCTCTCGCGCCCTTACGTGTCTGGCCACCAGGCTAAGGAATACCCCTCTCAGACACACAGGGGCTCTTGCTACGTGATTAAAAAGACCGAATTTAAACACTTGTCTTCATTCGGGCTTGTAATTGGTTTTGTTTTATTGCCGTATTCTAACAGTTCGTGTGATGGGAGAGTATCGGAATATGCTGACTGGTCAACACATTTCCTAGGACTCAAGGCTCAGCGAGTGGATGCTTTATCCCTGAGCAAGGCCTTGGGTGTGGAGCAGACTCAGGCACTATATTAGGGGGAACCAGAGAAAAGTGAAACCCGCCTTCTCGCTTTTACAACACACTGGGGGTGACGTGGGAAACAAGTGCGCTGGGCTGAGAGCCAGCCGGACGAGTTGGCGCCAGTGACAAGTGTCATACCTGGACCGGAGAAGCATTGGAATAACCTCCCATAGTGATAGGGACTGAAAACTGCTCCATGAAAATGGGCAGCGTTCCCAGTTTGCCGGGGAAAACGAAGTCGAAGAGCGACCAGAGCTCCTTCAAGTTATTCTGCATTGGAGACCCCGACAGGATGAAGCGATGGGGTGTGCGGAACTGGGACAAGAAAAGGAGAAAAGGAAATACACATATAAACACACAATTAAAACATGCTCTAGAACACATGGAAAATAGTCCGTGTTCCGTCTCATTCACAACAGTACTGCTGAGCAATCGTGGCAAAACCAATACTCAAAGTTGGCACACGAGTCTTTATAATCTAAACGCAGATGCAGATTAATATCCATTTAACAAAAGAACAGGAACAGAGGAATGAAATTTTAATATATAGAGAAATGATACAGCTTAACTGGTCCTTTTATGTAACAGTGGTAGGATTTGATTGCAGAGAATCTGTGCACACTGTTGGGGTACAGATTCTGTAAATGAACAGTGCTGAACACCAAGAGTATATCAGAGTCCACTGACCCCCCCGGGGGGGATAGCCTCACCTGTTTGCAAGCACGTGTAACCCCAGCATATGGATTTCGGATCTTGTGCCCTTCATCCAGAATCGCATAGTGCCAGTCGTACTTCTGAATATAGTCTTGCATGATCCGAACATACGAGTAGGAAGTGATAAGAATCCCGTGGCAGGCTGCTATCTCATGGATCAGCTTTTCCTGGAACAGAAATCAAATTCCATTTAGCAAAACGTGGAAAGAAATCCCAACAACAACAACAACAAAAAAAAGAAAAGAGCAAACATCAATAAGTAGTAAAATGAAAGATTGTTGTAGTCTAAATAAGGCGAAATGATGATAAACAATGAAAAAAAAAATCACTCTCATTTCCCATTCAGAATACTGTGCCGTTGTCCTGCTAGTAAGTTCAGATTTTACTTCTTTTTTTCCCCACTCACAAGGAAAAATGTTCCACATGAAACACCTTTAGGCTAAAGGCTACCAGATATCACTCTGCCACTGTCTAAACTCGATACCTGGTAGCGGTCCATCACAAAATATAACGCAGATCTCTATCTGTGCACTTAACACAAATCATCTCCGGTGACTTCAAATTAAAAGCTTGTAAAATATGTAACCTCTCTGTTTTTTTTTGTGCAATTAATAGGGTACATCTGCTATTAGCCTGACTTGCTGAATGCTGTGCTGCTGTCATTAAAAGACACTTTGCGAGTGTACTGCAGATATTACAGATGCTCCTGAGACCGATCCCTCCTGGAGGGCAAACAGTGGACGGGTGGAAAACAACAGCCATAAATCACACTGTCAGGCAGCGGAGAGAGCACAAAGGCAGCTCAGGCTCCTGAAGACCATTCACAGTAAACACGGCGTGGGAGCCTCCTAGTCAGGAATTACTGAACCTGTAATTAATTAAAACTTCCTTCAAGCTAAATCTTTAATAAACGAGGATTTGTGCTGACAAGGAGGAAAAGAGACGAAAAGCGAGAGGAGGTCTTGGCAGCACACCTCGTGTCTCCGTCGTTGAGCCTCTGGATTATCACAGCCATTCTTCAGTGGCACTCAGACTGGGAGGGCGTAATTCCTTTTTTGTCAGAGGACTTTAAAAAAACCCCAACTAAAAACAGCACCACATAAACTAAAGCTAAAATGACGTCTACTGAAGGAATTATTGCTACTTCAATAACTTTGCGCAGTGAGCCTGAGGATATTTTATGAGTAACGCAAAACAGAAGCGTGCCAGGTTATACATGTGTGATTGTGAGTACTGAATTCCCTTTAAATACGTGCACAAGAACTGTGATTAACCTTCTAGTTACGGTCTTGTTTAAAGCGAAATAATTCCAATTTAGAATATAATTAGACAAACCATGCGTTTTTAGAAAAGTCTAAAATTCATACATTGTTCACAAACAACACTATAACTTTATTACCGTACTATAAAAACTATAAATGGGTCACTTTGGAAAAAAGCAAATAATTCACCATGCATGCCTGAGCTTTACTTGTTTGACTATCACCTTAAGTTCTTTAGGTTCAAAATCACACAGTAACTCCATGTCAAGGTTTTTATGCCGAGTACAGGATACCAGCGCTATTGCTGGGATTACATGATAAAACACTGAAATGAAAATTGCTGTAAAAAGTGGTAAAATGCTATCAAATATAATATACTTTATAAAGTCCTTAAATATCAGAATTATTAAAAAACATCATTAATGGTTAAATCTGCGGCAATTTTGGCAATGACCAGAGCTATTAAACAGCTAAATTAACAATTACAAAACAAAGAAAATGTGCTTATGGTTAGGCCTTCCAGGCTGAGCGCGCCAAGGCAAATTAGACAATTGTATTGATTATCTTTGAAACCAACTAAGGAATTTAATTTGGATCAGCAAACTAGTTCATTACTATAGACAACAGCAAATAGATCCTAATTAAGATAACCAAGTTAACAGAGCAACAGTATTTTATTAAGGGTTAGGGGTTATTCCACAGACTCTGAACCACGGACACAAGCGTACAGAAGAGTGATTAAAGACGTAAGAAAACAGAAAGGATTCAACAAGATAACTCTTTCTAAAAATTATGAAAATTAAGACGTCTACAGAGGCAACTGTAAAATGTGAAACTGAAGATAATGATGTTTCTACTGATGCCAAAACCATCTAGGGTCTGTTTTAAAAGAGGAAGAAGTCTAAAGATGTGTTGGTCCCCTCTCCTCAAAGTGCAAATAACCACACATGGTAATGATATAGTTATTTGAATACAGAATTCGCTAATGAGTGGATTAGAAGATAACCATTGGTGTGGAAGATGGATTCATTGTTCTAATACATCCAACACCAACTTATTTTTCACCTGACTAATATGTAAAGCGCTTCCCTGAGCACTTCACATACTGGACAGGAGTCACTTGACCCATCACAGTGCAGCAGATCAGGGGGAGGAATGAGAAACTGCTTCACCAGCTGAATCACGAAGGAACTTTAGGGAGCCCAGACTGCGAGAGCCCAGACTGGAACTTCGACAGGATATTGAGGTTAGCACCTCTACTCTTAAGAACGGGGCCATGCTGTCTTGGACGACCAAACAATCATGACCTCAGTTTAATGGTTCACTTGAAGGACGACACCTTCTACTGCGGTGTCCCAGAAACCATCCCAGAGGGAAGAGCGCCACCTACAGGTTCAACACAAAGTTGCAACCTTTTCCCTAAAGGAACCCTGTCCCAGTATGGACCAGGCCCAGCCTTGCTTATTTTGTAAAATCTGAAGGTGGCAATGTGGCAACAGTATATAATATTCTAATTATGGTTTATACACAATATAATCATTTCCTAAAATAACGCTGTTTGTAAAGTTGTACATTTGTTTTCTGATTCTATTAATATAGTATATAAGTGGCTTTATATTTTGAGATGATCATTGTTTTAAAACAGCCTATAATTTAACATGTACTGGTGAGTCTAGAATATGTTCATTATGGAATACACACAGCTGTACCAATTACTCAATTTTACACATAAGCACGTTTGTCCCACTATCATGAACCGGACAAATACAGTCTGTGACAAAAGTTGTTATTATGTCCTTTTGTTATTTAAAGTCATGTTTCAGAAATAAAACAATTTTTTCAGATGAAACACTTTCTTGACCTGTATAGGAGTACGGAAGACACACAGTACACGCAGACTACATTATTTACATTATTGTAGCACGTTGATAATAGGGCAAAGCAGGAGGCGCTGATGAAATCAACATGGTGGTCATCCTGTCAATCATGAGGAGCTCTCAGTGTGTCCACTGCTGTCCCCTTGCCAGCGCTGTCTCACAGCGGCTCAACGCACAGTTGCCACAGAGCACCGGACTTGAAATGTGACACTAGCGGGTGGATCGACGTTTAAATCTGAGCCCCAAGGCCTTGCTTGGAGACTGAACACTACCGGAAAGACAGCAGGAAAACCCAACTGAATCAAAGGATTGTATTCTGATCTCTCCAGTCATTGCAGTTACATTTTTACAGCCCACAAAATTCAGAAACTTTTATGGAATTAATTCAGAGTTAAAGCATGCACATCTGTAACGAGGATCCTGCGACCTAAGCCCACCTTCCGGCTGGAGAAAGAGCCAGTGTCGTGCAGCACGGCCACGCGGAAGGGAGGCCACCACGTGTGAAACTCCTTAACCCACTGGTGCATCACCGTGGCCGGACACACAATGATGGTGGGGCCCAGTCCGGCGTATCTAAACACACAGAAGCTGCTGTTATGCACAGTGAAGCACAGAATACCTGTTAATATCTGTTATGCTGCCCATGCATGCATGTTTTAATTTAAAGGAAATCAGACATGAATGGTGATTCTGACATTCCGATGAGAAAATAAAATACATGTGGCTTTATATATCGAAATATGCATCATTCTATTGCGAATATAGACGATAAGGCTCTCGGTTTACAATCACAAGAACAGCTGGGCGAACTACACCGCACTTATTTCTTTCCGATGCCTCTCTTCTTCGGAATTCAGTTTGAAGATGGAAAGAATGATTTCACTCTGAACAGAAAAATGTACAGCCTGTTGGAGGTCCAAATTAAGATCTGTCCAAACTCTCCAGTCGCCAGATTTAAGCCACAGAAAAAGGTGTTTTTCAGCGGTAAAAACGAAATTTGTGGGTTTCATAACAGAGTCTGCTGCAGAGAATGGTAAGTCCACGTTTCACCGAAGCAGATGCAATCTCGAGATATGATAAATGCTGCTAAAAGTATTATAAGCAATTTAAAATTCTATGTTGTGTAAACTATTGATATTGAGCCGTAATTGAGTTGGTAAACAATCAATTTGTGGAATTCAAAGCTAGACATTGTATTGACCCATGCATATCCAGCCCCTGTGCATCTGCAAAACAAAGCATTACCGTTTGGAATTCATTAAATGTGTTACATGTTTAATTTCCCCAGCCCTACAGCTCTACCATCTCGTAAATATCTTCCTTTGATGTTCCCACTAAAAGAATTAAAGGAATATTGTAATTGAAATGTCTTTAATAATTTAGGAGGTCCTCCTCCACCAGCAGTACAGCTGATGAAATATTAATTGAGCTCGAGACTGACAGTCTGGAGAGAGGGGCACTTGCCTGTAATTTGAGCCACGAGTCCTGATCTTGCTGTAGCTCAGCCCTGCCAGGAAGGCAATTATCTGGATGGTCTTGCCCAGGCCCATCTCATCCCCCAGAATTCCTCCTGCCTGCTGGCAGTGCAATTCCCACAGCCACCTGACACCTGTCTGTTGATACCTGTGAACAATGCCAGACATGTTTGACAAACACACAACAAGAACTAATGATAAATTAATCACCTGGTAATTATCTGTATTGATTCAACCCAGAATTCTAAGAGTAACATGAATCATGCCTGTTAGACACAGGCACTATGAGGAGGCATTTATATTTCATGTGCTTTAACAGCCTTGATGGCAGGAGCTACAAATTGCACACTGAAAGACACCACCTGACTTTATCTCAATGCTGCATTCCCAAACCACTGTCAACTCACTTCCAAAATATATTCCCTTGCTCCAAGCACCTACTATTGACAATTGATGTATAGATACTACTTTTATCTAACACGACTGGTAAAAATATTTTAACAAGTTGCCTAAGTGTATAAATAGCCTATATCTCTGCTTTTGATTTCTTTAAAAAACACTGTAGTCAAAAAATAAAAACCCAATTACACTTGCATGTGTTTTTGAATATTCTTTTAAACATACTCTCCGTGTACAGAGGTTCAAGGTATCCTTCATATGCCTGAAGAGCTCGGAGGATTTAACCAATATTCAATCAAACACCTAAACCTTACTTAAACAGCTTTTTCCAGAGGAATCCAGGCATCTTGAAACCTTCATCAAATTCAGCATCGCTGTCTTCGGACTCGTCAGCTCCAGCCTCCTGCTGCTCCATCTTTTCCCTCAGTCTCTGTTTCTTCCACCTCCTGGACAAATGCAGCGACCGAGTCATTACAGCTGCCGGCCCAAGGCACAGAAACCCATACCTCTGCACCATCTGCAAGTCTGAAAGCACCAGACCCCGCATCGGGATACCAAATAGCCATGGCCCAATCTGTTAGTGGTCACATCTTTTAAGAAGACAAAGAATAATTCTCTCACGTGTTGAACTAATAGGCCATCAAATACAGTTCGAAGGATTCGACAGGATCAGGCGGGTCAAAAAGAAGACAATCTAATCCCGTCAAATCAGTCCAAGAGGTTTTCAAAACAAGCAGGACTCCAACGCTACTAAGCTTCTAATATCTATCTTCATGACTAATCCTGCAAGCTAATTTAGCCAGGGACACGATCAGTTCTACAGACGTACACAGGGTTTCGCCATGTCTTAACCATGAACTCGTTTCATGGAATTTCATTCATGTATTTTCCCTTCCACCCCGAATCTGAAGTAGTTCCGTTCCACATCTCTGCCTTCCAGAGGAGAACAAAGAGCCTCACCCAGCCTCTGTCAGCCTAGAGAGTGTAAATATGAAGAAAGCCATTGCTCACTTCCAATATTTTCTGTCTGAACTGTCTTCCAGAAGAACATTATTAAAACTCCTCGCAAATCTATCCCCACGGTCCTCTATGTTTTACGGATGTGTATTTAATTTGCATTTTTCTTTAGGATTGTTATGTAGAGAAATCACTGCAACGCATTTCAAGCCAAGCAGTCACTACAATTTGATTTAGGAGACATTTTTGCAGGCATCACACTGAGATTTAATATAGTTTTACATTTTTAGCAAAATGCATAGTTTGTATTTAAAATAAGAAAGGATCCCTGGTTAATTATACTAATTTCCCAAATTGAGAAACCCATTGCTCTGCCTTAGTTAGCTCACTTTTTATGGGCTTTCAGGGTGGCTTTAATTGATCCAGTCTAGCTGCAGGGACATGGCAGTTAGTAGCAGTGTCGTTATGAAGCAAATTAAGATTGATACAGACAATTAAGCATTTGAGCTTCAAATGAAAGGTGTGAGAGAGGGTACAAAAAATCCATCTTCATTTACGCCCTGCTCCTGTCACTTCACGGGGACACCATTTTAAATTTCTTCAGGCTTCCTGGTAGACATTTTTAATTAAGTCTGAGCAAGCGCTGCTCTTTATTTAACAAACCTGAGGAAGAAAAAAAAAAAACGGGTGGCGATGTATCACGCTGCTCAGAAAACATTTCAGAAGAGCTGTGTAAAAATACAGACTGCTCAGGCCAGTGAAACCATGTCGCTTGTTCAGTACGAACACTGTTGACGTTCTTGTTGAAGACAGTCAGTGCAGTAATAGAACAACTGTGTCCTACGCCGGCTTCCGTCTACAAGCTCCCTAGATCTTGCTCACAGGCCATGAGCAGAACCCACCCGCCAAACGCCCAGGTCACGGTCGCACCCCATGCCTGAGAGACAGGAGCTTTTTCGGGAGAAACCGCCACCTAGCCCGATACGAAATGCGCAACGCAGAGGCGGGCTACTTGGAAACTCTTCCAGAAGAGGGCACACCCCTGCGGCGGGCCTCACCTCAACCTCTGCTTGTAAAACTCGACGTCCCCGTCGTCTCTGCATCTCTTCACGCGGCCCTTTCGAGCTGCACCCTCCTCTTCGGAGCTGCTGCAGAAATCTTCGTCACCCTCCTCCTCCGTGGTCTTCCTCCCCGGCCGCCGCTTCTGCTGCTTGGACGGCTTTGGGTCGTACTCCTCCTCGTCCGCCCAGAACTTGTCCTCCTCCTCCTCCTCCTCCTCCGGCTCCTCGGGGTCGAAGAGCTCGTCGCTGGGAATGTACTCGGACTCCCCGCTCTCGGAGCCACGGTGGGAACGGGATTTCCTTTTCTCGGCAGGAGGAGGCTTCTCGCCTTTGACCTTCGCTTTGGACTGGAGTTTCAAGGCATTCCTCTGTAACTTCCGCAGGTGTTTCTCGAGCTTTTGGCCCTTCCCCGACACCTTCCCATTCTCCTGCACTCCGACCTCCCCGGCCGCGCCGGGATCTGTGGGCTCGCGGCGAGGTCTCTTCACCTTCTTCCTGGATCGCAGCTTTTTCCTGTTCATTGCCATCACGGCCTGATCGGCCAGATACTTCTCAAATCCAGACGCCTCATCAAGCATGACTTTCCTGGGCTCCTTCTTTTCCGGCTTCTGGGGGATTCTGGTACCGAAAGGGGTCATCTGGCCAGTCCGAATGAGCTCCTCCCATTCGGTTTCCTGAGCTGGCATGAGCATGCTGCCAAGAGTCGAGGGGCCAGGCTCTGGAGACAAAACCAGAGTACAGACAGTGCATGGGTTTTTCTGACCTTTATTTTTTCCGCCACTGCTCATTCCTCAAAGGGGAACTGCAACGCTATTTTCATATTTCGGGGCTAGAAAGAATCAGCATTGATGAGTGCATTTCAAACCACGGTAAATGTAAAATCTACACAGTAGCTTGTAAAACCTCCAATTTACATCCCAAAATAGACTTCTTTTTCCAGGTCTGCACAGTGCCATGCTCTGCTATTCAGAACGAGGCATCAAAACTTCCAATGATGCGTTGCAGGCTACGTTGTAAACAAGCAGACTTGTGAATACATCTCCAACAGAAATACTGCTCTCGACTTCAAGACTACAAATACAACCTACTTATCAACTCCGCATGCAGATCACTTTGGAACATTTCTGCGGTGAAATGCCTGCTGAACAACCTGTACTTATACGCTAGTACATCGCATTACATTAGTCATTACAGTGACCATTGAGGAGGAAGGGCCGAATCACGTCACAGTTAGTGGGAACTCAAATGCGAGTCTGCGAAAATATGGAGACTTAGAGTACTTTCACGGAGTGCACGATTTTGTGCCTAATTTGAAATTTGTTAATTTTTTCTATAACGTCAATGAATTTATTTAGCTACCGAGATTTAATAACTGATCTGAGAAATTGGGACTGCGGTTCCCCTTCAAACCACTGAATTCAAGAGCCGTAAGCGTACCCAATTTGTTTTTTAAAAAAGGTGTTTTGCCTTCTTATCCAATCAATAATCCAAGTAATTATTACTCTTAGGTAATTAAAACCAGAGGTGGGTTGAAGCTTAGAGAATTGAGGATGGTGTGGCTCATTCTTGTCTTTCCTTTTCTTTTGATACCAACATTCATTAGGAGGGAAGACTGATGGGAGGAACACTCTGTCAAGCTTCTGGAAAGATACACTGCACTCTCTACACATGGGCCATTTCTGACACCATGAAGAAATTCAGAATAGTTACGTTCCTGTAATCCAGATGAAATCTAAATCTTCCACTGTCATTTATATCCAGCTCTCTAATGAGCCACAAACCTCTGACTAACACTTTTTTCTCATTAATTTTCCCTGTGTATCAGCACAATCACAGGATGCTCGACCAGCCCTACGTTTACACTGAGCACCATAGAACATTATTTTAAAGATCAGCTTTTTATATTATTGCCCTTATAAAACCATATGAGGAAGCGCAGCGACTGATATAACATGAAGCAATTTTCACACCCTCCCCAGCGGCAGGCACAAAGCCATCCACCGAACTCCTGAGCGGTCACTATGCCCACTCACCTTCATCATCCTCATCTGGATCAGCTTCAATCTCCAGAACAGCTTCTCCTCCAAGGACAGCCTGCAGACGCTTCTGCTTTGCCTTAATCTTTCTCAGCTGCTTCTCCTGCAAAATCGAGAGCTGATTAACAAATTGCTTCTCAATGCTGACTTTGCTCGTGAATGACTTACTTTTCTAATTGAATACAAAAGGTGCTCTTGGATTTGAATATTCTGAAGGGGACACACGAACAGCTGCCTGTGAGCTACTCTCAGCCACATGGCCCACCACTCGCCTTTAACCCTGCTCTGAAAGTGCACATCACTTGTTTGTCAGTCAGGGAATATTCTGATTTAGGCGTGCAAACAACTTCCATTGCTCATTCCTTGGCCTATATGTGATCTCCATCATGCTAATTTAATCTTTTTTTCATTTTGAGCTGGACTGAACACATTAAACCTGCAAATCTGAAAGACAAGCTGCCACGTTTTATCACCCTGCAACTCACAACTGGCAACCAGCAGGTGTGAGCCTGGACAGTATCTGGATGGCAGACTCCTGAGAAAGCTAAGGTTGCTGCTGGAAGAGGTCTTAGTGGGTCCAGTTGAGGGCACTCACTCTGCGGGCTGTGTGGGTCCTAATGCCCCAGTAAACAGATGGGAAAACTATACTGTAAAAATGGTGCCGTCCTTCTGATGAGACATAAAACTCCTGAGGTCCTGACTCTCTGTGGTCATTAAAAATCCCATGGCATTTCTGAACAGGAGTAGGGGTGTTACTACAGGTGCCCTGGCCAAATTTCCTCCTGGCCTTTACCAATCGTGGCCTCCTAATAATCCCCATCTTTGAACTGGCTTCATCACTCTCTTCTCCCCACTGACAGCTGATGTGTGGTGAGTGTTCTGGTGCACTATGGCTGCCATCACATCATCCAGGTGGGGCTGCACATTAGTGGTGGTGGAGGGGAGTCCCCATTACCTGTAAAACGCTTTGAGGGGTGTGTCCAGAAAGCGTTACATAAGTGTAAGGATTTGTCTTATTATTATTGTTGTTGTTGTGTTGAATCCAATAACCTGGTTTCAATGGCTAAATGAGATCCTGGAATAAATTACTACTAATTGATCTAGTATGGCCTCTTCTTGTTTGTAACCTTTCTTATGTCCTTACTGATAAAACCAAAAATAACAATAACCTTTAATATGCAGACATAAAAATAATACGAAAGGCGATTTCTTACTCCTGACACTCTACTTAAAATGAAACAGACTCTTAAAACAGTGCTGTTACCTTGTTTTCCTTCTGCCTTTTAACTGACTCAATTTTCCTGCTGATGTCTTTGCTTGTGGCAGTATAAGGCGTGAGCTGCTCTATGATTTTATTGGCATGTTTGAGAGCAGCTGTACAGGACCTAAGGAAGACAAGACAAAAGTTAGATTTCAGTTAGCTGATTTTTGGTTTTAAATTTTCCAACACAAGACTTGAGAACCACTGAAGAACTGAAATCGTAACGTCTGCCCTGTCTAAATGACAAAGAGTTGCAGGAAATCGAGATTTTCACAAGCTCCGTGCTGCCCATTGCACGCCCAGGGCCTGACTGGGGGGCTTTCGTGTACCAGGAGCTCCACCCTTCTGCCCAATGGAAACCTCGAAACCGCACCGATGAGTGGGACAGGGTTTCTGTATACTCCAGACGCAAGTCTGCTCTCATACATGAAATCATTATGCTCATAATTAACACTCAGATTTTGCACGTCTGGATTAGCTCTAAAAATCAGTTACAAAAACAAGAGAAATGTGAACAGATGCCAGTACTGCTTATGCTGTCCACTGATGCTCAAGCGGCGTCAGCAAGCACAGGCTGAAAAGGAACAGGAAAGGTTCATTCCATGCTGAAAGGAAAAGAAAAGAGACACCACATTAAGACTGCTGAGCCTTCTTCAGGCGTGTCAGTTCTCATTGTCTCTTGTGTCTATTTCTTTTCAGCATGGAATAACCCTTCACCTGCTCTTATGCTGTGCCTGCTTTGAAACCAGTCCGAAACCCGCCCTCGGACATTGGCCAAGTGCGTCAGAGAGGGTGCCTTGTGCCACCGAACCTCAGGTCATCCAGCACCGCCTGGTACTCCTTCTCCGCGTCGGCTCTCCTGGCGGCCTGGCTGGCCTCGCTGATCGCCCGGTCCACCTGCTGCAGCACCCCCTGCTCCAGCACCTCCTGGTCGTACACGTCCACCCCCAGGCCCCGCAGCTCGTCCGCCTGGGCGCTGTGGGCCACGGCCTGGATCTGCTGCCGGTCGATGTGCAGCAGGGCCTGCGGCTTCCTGGGCAGCTCCGGTGCTGGCCCGGCGGCAGGGGCTGCCACCGGCGCTGCTCCGGGGCTCCCCCTGCTGGAGGACGAACACCCCGCCTCTTCTTCTCCGCCGATCCCATTCTCCTGCGGGACCTCGGGCTCCCGGGGCTCGGGGGCAGTGACGGGGCTCTTCGGCGTTGCTGGGTCTTGGTCCCCAGTTCCATCCGTGGGCATTTCTAGACTACTGCAAAGAAGCACAGAAAATATTTCCCCTCCATTTTCAGAAAATTCTTCCAAAAGTCAACTGGAAGGTGGACTGTATCAGGCGGTGCCTCTTTAACGCCTGAAAGATGCAGGGCTGTGGAGTACAGAACACCGAAGAGTGAAAGGCAGTGGCCTTGGAGTACTGTATTCGTGCACAGACACCCCTGTACAGGCACACTAGTCAAAATCCACACTGGAAATCTGAGGTCAGAAGACAAGCATCACTCACTGTCAGTCAAAGTGCGCTGAAGCACACCTGCCTGACAAGACACAGGGGGCTGAAGTACAGTATCCTCCAAGGGCAGCGCCTTTCCCTGCTCAGTGTTTCATACTTCACAACTCTGCGTCTTTCAGGTGTTAAAGAGACAGCGCCTGATATGATCTGTTTCAAGCCGTGGAAGCACAGAGTGCAAAAAAAAAAAAACATTAAAGGTTTTAAAGATGAAATCACCGTGATAGTAAACAAAGCTTTATTAAATAAGTGCACATTACCATAAACAACACAATAACCATGCACGTGGATTCAATTGTTTCTGAACAGTACAAAGTCTGGATGAATCGATGGCCTGGTTTAATGTAGTTTAGTTTTAAAACAGATTTCCCACAACTAAATAGCTGTGCTCTCCTCTGCCCAGTCAGGAAAGAGGCCAGACTATTCACCATCCTGTCAAGGTGCTGTCAGAGGAGTGCTCCAGTCACTGCCAGCACCTGACCGGCGCTGCTTACGGTAACTGCTGAGACCCCTGTCACAACCGGCATACACCGACAACAAAGCTGGGACCTGATGGCTTACTGACATCACCGGGAACCTCTCCGGCAAAAGAAAATGATAAAGGAAACACTGAACGCCTCTTCGAGATGTTACAAAAAAAACTAACAGAAACTGAATTTCAGCTGTGGCGTTCATACGACCGGGAAAACTAAATCCAGATTAAAAAGTAAATTTGCACCTCGGTCATTTTTAGTCATTCCGTCTCTGGTGGGAAAGATCTACAACATCAAAATTACATAACACAACCCCTTCTTCATCCCCCTGTGCTCGGTAAAGTAACAATTAATCCGTGTCTGGCGACCCTGTTATACAACTTCAGCAGATATCTAAAGGTAAACAGTAACGATAATTTGCTGAAGGTTACTATCACACATCTCCAAGCCCTATCTTACCTCCAGAGATGTTATATACAATATTACACAATGGAACCATTCCGGCGCCCTCCTTCCGGGAACTTGCGTGGTGTAAATCTGGAGCACTGTGTAAAGTGCAGCGCCACCCCGTGGACAGGAGGAAGTATATACAGTATTGAGTGCCACGGTATGATGGATTTGTATGAGGAATGATACAGCGAACGTTTCACTTTCGCTCCATAAACTGCCAAAATATTTATGCCCTAAATCCTAGTAAAAATTAAAAGGCCCTTACAGAGTATATGTACATACTCTAAAGAGGTGTTCATATCTAATTAAACATCCAGCTGTTACAAGCTTCAAACGTGTGGCGAATATGGCTGATGACTGGTTTGGGATTTACTATTCTTTCGCCTTGAAAAAAGCAGTAAATAACAACCACCTCTTGTTTCATCACCTTCTGAATGACTGCTGTCTGCAGGAGGAGAAGATGGTATATCATTGAGCGCTAGATGTCGCTCGCGGCCTTCCTTAAGAAACAACTGCGCCACTATCTCGGACGCCCACTGAGAAGCGGCATCAATATATGTTGAACGCAAAAGGCTTTCCAATCTGCTTTCGCTTATATAATTATGCCGAACCAGGATGATTATACATAATGTAGAAATGCTCAGTCTGCCGACCGCCAAAAAATAATTCACAAGCTGGATTACATCAAACTAAAATTACAGGAATCTAAATTGGAGGGGAAATATATGTCCTGAGAGTCATTTTTCTTCTGAAAGCTGCCTTCTGCCGTTTTTATTACATTTTACATAACATTTATTGTTACTAAATGAATAAAAAAGTGATATTGCATTCAGCTAAATTGATGAAAATATCCAACAACAACAACATTTCCTTGTGATTTCTGAGCTGTTATAGTGCGTATTCTGTTCACGCCGTTGGATAATGTTTGAAGATCAGTTTTGCAGTGCTGTACTTTGTGAGAAAGAATTGTTATTATTACCTCGAGAATAAACATGATTAATGCTGGTTCGTTGGTTCTTTTAATGTAAATTGTAGCTTAGGCCAGTGCAAAGAAAAAGCATTCCCCAGAGTCACTATGTTCTGTATCAAAACTACATTGCAACCTAGAGGACAGTGAAATTAATTTACTTTTTCCCCGTGGCCCCATTAACAATTTTGTGGTTTATTCAGAACTACAGCGTAGCCACTTTTATTTTTTTCGTTGCAAATAACTAAACAAAAATTACGTAAAGGTGTTGCAGACTCAGTAGACAATGTTAATTCAAATGTTAAAAAGATAGGTCCATGCCAGTATATCTTTTAAAACCTTTTTAAAACTTGTCAGATGTGGAATCTCAACATAATTTCAGCTTTGGAAAAGGAAGAAGAGCCTAAAAGCGTTCTATTTACAGTACAAACATGCTTTCTACCAACCAACTAGCTCTTAGTCAAACAATTTCTTTTTTATAAAGAAGCAGTTACGTTTTTTTTTCTTTGCTGTATTAAAAGAATTAGTAAGCTTAGTTACATACAATCTGTCATACATTCCTTAAGTAATCTTGAGAAAGGAAATACTTAAATAAGAGCCACACAACTGTAAGAGGAAAAACAAGTCCTTGTTTCTAGAACTACATTAATCATACTGTACATAATGCATCTGTGATGACCCCAGCCCTTGGAAGGGCCCTGTGTGCTGGTACTGTGTTTATAAACCTCCAGTGCCACAGTGGTTAGCATTCCTGATTTGCAGTGCTGTGGCTTGGGTTTCAATTCCTGCGGTACTATCTGTATGGAGTTTGTATGCTCTCCCTGTAATAGAGTGGGTTTCCTCCCACAATCCAAAGACATTCTGGCTTCTGGGAAAATTGGCCCTGGTGTGAGTGTGATTGTGTCTCTTGTCTGTGTCTGTGTGTGCCCTGTGGGACTGCTGTCCTATCTGGGCTGTTTCCTGCCTTAAACCAAATGCCTGCTGGGATAGGCTCCAGCACCCCTGAGACCCTGTATTGGGTAAAGTAGCTAAAAATGGCTGGATGGATGGTTAGGTGTTCTGTATAATGGATCTGTATCTACTGTACATCAATTATGGTGCAAATACTATTGGAAAGCTCTGTAAGAGAGCTACTGTACTGAGCATTTCTGTGAGAGAATCCAAGCTTTTTACCAGAATAAAAAAACATACTTGCATCAACCACTGCTTTTGAGAAACCGTGAGACTTTTGAACTAGACATTAACTTCAACGGTTTCCCTACTATTCATTTTTTTTAATCATGGTAACATTCCCAATTATTAGTTGTTATGTTAGTTGATATTATTATCATTAGTTATAGAAAACTTAAACTTCTGCTCTCGTCACACTCATAATATTTAGGCTCTTCTGTCAAACCTTTGGGAGCCTGCCTTTGTTTTAAATATGTGGTATGTCACCGTGTTTGGAATATTGAGAATGATATTCACAGTGCGAGTTAAATTCTTATCCCTTTAACAATGATGAAAACCGAAAGGAATACGTTCTCTCCGTCTGGACTGGAATGACCACTCCCTCGCTTCGACATTCACAAAGGGGCTTTCAATGAAACCTTCATAAAATTGGAGCCTAATTGCGCTGTAGTGAATTTGGCAGGTATTTGATTGTTCTGACTGAACTGATGAATTGCCTTTTTGTCTCGGTATTATAGGCACACCTGTGAGGGCATACAGACCCTAACAAAGAGTGGGAAGGAAGTGTGGAGCCAGAACACAGGCCAGGTTCGGCAGGTCCCACAGGGACAGAGTTCTAGTGTCGCCACAGCGCAGGGAAGGAATGACTTGTTCCTCTCCCTTCAGGGTGGATCAGGGTTGCAAGTTTGTAGGAGTGTAAAAATGTAACATTTTTCTCTGCTTCTTAGAGCTTGGGTTTAATAATAATAATAATAATAATAAAATTGCTTACACTTATATAGCACTTTTCTGGACACTCCACTCAAAGCTTTACAGGTAATGGGGACTCCCCTCCACCACCACCAGTGTGCAGCCCCACCTGGATGATGCGATGGCAGCCATAGTGCGCCAGAACGCTCACCACACATCAGCTATCAGTGGGGAGGAGGGCAGTGTAATTAAGCCAATTTATAGAGGGGGGTTGTTAGGATGCCATGATTGATAAAGGCCGATGGGAAATTTGGCCAGGACGCCGGGGTTACACCCCTACTCTTTTCGAGAAACACCCTGGGATTTTTAATGACCACTGAGAGTCAGGACCTCGGTTTTACGTCTCATCCGAAGGACGGTTTAAGCAAATGTGCTGCAAAATGTGTTCAATCGCGTATGGTACCGAGAATCACAGCTCTGCCTTAACATTTTTTATTGGCAATTGTGTCGGTTTGTTCGAAATGTGATAAGGAAGGTTCTGTGATAAGAGGGATTATGGAGTCTGAGTGACACTGTAGAGCAGACGCCTAACACAGTGTTATGAAAAACCCAGGGCTGTAAGCCTGCAGTGATTGGCGGGGTAACAAAGCCGCCGCTGGCACTTTTAAACAAAAAGCCGTGTTGAAATGAAACATCAGCTGAGTCAAAAGAGCCACACACTCCCAGCTCGGTGGGCTCTGGTTCCACGGATTTCGTTGTTATCAATGCGCCAGAACTCGGGCAGCCCTCAGACTCTGTTGCTTGAGCTGGAAAAGAAAGAACGGAGAGTTAAGGAAACCAGGAAAAGGAGTAATGCAGAGCGAAAGACCACACTGAGCCCCCTCCATCCAGCTTGGCACACAAGATAACTTCTCGGCCCTTTTTCTTTGTCTGTGCAGCAGGGTTGGAGAGAGGTCTTCTGAGAGATAATACCCCCGCTCGCTTTATGTATTTATTTTCCCACATTCATTTTCCTCTGCATGTGTGGCAGCCCTGGCGTTCAGTGCCGTCTTCATTACACTTCAGTCAGGGCAGTTTTTGACTTTGTAACGACGGGGAAGGGCGATGAACATTCAGCGCAAAGAGATAAAGGCATTTTTCCCAGTAATTTCCACCTGAGGAATTTTAAAGGGAAATAATGAGCAAACAGCTCGTATTTGCTGACTGCAGCACACTGGCTGAGTTGTAAAATGAGAGTAATGGCTGTTGGAGTTGTGTAAAATCTCGCTGGGCATCACTGCCAAGACGAGAGCTAACCGTCTCGAGGTGATGTTTAGGTTCTTCCTGTAACCAAATTGTTAATCAGTTTGTGACAGCATAAATAAATTTAAAGGGTTTAATTAAAACTAATGAATAAGCATGTGGAGAGTGCATATTGTGCAGCCGAAATGTTTGGGCTTTAAATAATTAAAAATGTCAGGCGCAGTGAGATATTTAAGTCGAGTAAGTTGCATTGAAAAAAACGTGGCTCAGTGCCTTCCCTACTCTCTGCTTCCTGCAAGTGTCTGCGTGATTTTTCTCTCCCAACCGGAGTGACAAATGATGTTTTGGAAAAATCTTTAAAGGAAAAAAAAATATTCCTTAAGGACTGGACAAATTGATGAGGATGGTGAGAAATTATGTCTATTTGTTTGTGGAACAGAAATGAGCCGATTTGACTGCTGTTTTCTCTGAAGATGTTGACAGTCTCTAAGGGAAAGTGGAGGTGGAAAAAACTAAAAACACCTGCCTGGCATCTGCCTTTATATTTAGATTTATAAATGCAGTCTTCATATTCTATTATTTTAGGGAATGGAAAATTCTTGTTTTTGTTGGTATCCCATGCAAGAAAAGAAGCAATTCAACCATCGCCGGCTGCAATCTGGTCTAGCTCTGACTGAAGCTCGTCGGTGCCACAACGCCTTTGCAGTGTGGGCTGATCTGCTGTCGCGGGTTTGCCCTCTCTGGAAATAGAGCAGGACGTGACCGAGTACTGAGAGCCTTACCCGAAGGGCTCTCCGTCTGCTCCTCACCCTCAGGCGCCTCGTCTTGGTGACCGGCAGCACTGTATGAGCAGAGCTGTAATCTCGATGTGAGGTGAGGTTTTCCAGCTGAACCCACACACAAGGCCTTCCTCTGCTCCACAGCAGTGCTGGGCTCTCCTTCACTCCACAGGCTCAGTCAGAGCTGCAGTGAGCACTGGTGCCAGACGAGGAGCAGCCGCTGAAAAGGCCAAACAGGTCCAAAAAAAGGGGAGTTGATGGGATTTCTTACACAATTATTTGGTAAGGCTACATTTTCTCTGTTTCACGGTGAAATCTATTAACTCCCAGTTGTCTTTTGTGGGAAAGATGAGAGCTGTGGGCCTCAGAGGTGAGCTGTATAATCGTCAGTGACCCCTGGGAGATATATGGGATGTTGCTCCTGCTTCTCCAGAAATAAATTTTCCTTCGCAAATCTTAGGGGCAATTAAAGCTCTCATGTAAGGAAGATTAATCAGCATACTTAGCCTGAGCCTCATATGTCATTTCTGACATAAGGGGGTTCAGAATAGCTCCTTCACAGGTTCAGCAACTGGGGCCTTAACATTTTATTAGAGTACAAACCTGTAATGACGTTAAAGAAATGCCTGATGGTATTGAGATCAGAAGGGCTTATGGTACAGATTAAATCTGATCTTTTACACATCACAGCCTAATACACGTGTGGCGGTGTAATTGGGCTTTAATACTTAAAGGATGTTTATTTTAGTCTCCATTGCAATATTCATTCTGTCTCTCTCTTGAACTTTCTGATTTCTTTCTTTACCTGTTCTAGTGATTCATTGCACTCCTTTCCTTTAACTGGATCTTGCTTTTGTTTTTCAATGATTTTATAGAATCCTTTCCCCCCCGTCCCTAAACGATTTCTTGGTACCTTTTTGGACGCTGTTTTTTAGGCTTTGATTAACTCACTCTTAAGATGCATCTGTTCCGTGCTTGAAGCTGAATCTCTCCATGAATTCTGCGTCCATCCTGTCTCTTTCGGCTTCTCCCGAGCCCCCTCTCACGGCCTCCCAGTCTGCTCTCCTGAACCCACCAGCCCGTGCCTGTGATTTGTACCTGTCCAGGTACGCTGCACGCACCTTAACACCTTAGCAGGTTGCATCAGTCTGCAGAAAAAGGGAAGGACAGGCTCCCAGCACAGGCCAGATGTGTGAACACAGGATATTTGGGAAAAGGTCAAGATCAGGCGTTTCAGGCCATTTTTTTTCAAACAAAAAAGTTTCCACAGTTTTCTTTCAAGGCAGATGAAAAAATACAAGCGCTTAATTTTCTTGACACAATTGGTGAGGAGTTTGCACTTGCCTAAAAGGAATGTCCACAGGGGCTTTGAATTGAGTTCAGAGTATGGCTCAGAGTAAGACCTTTGTTCACACCACCAGTGAGTCTGAAATGTCTAGGGAAGACTGGACTGGTGGTCTGCTCCCAGTGCGCCGCGCTGTGTGTATGCAGGTGTGGAGCTCACTTAAACAAACTATCAAAAAAGTCGCTTTATCATTTTACCAACTGATCTGCTTTTCATGGCATTTAGACGATAACTGAAGCCAGGACAGGTCTGCTGAAAGGAATGTAAACCGCCTCAATCTTGATAGTGCGCTCCTGAGAGTCTTCCAGCTCACTGTACTCCAGCCTCCTCCTTTAAACCGAGCAGTGAGGTATGCGATTGTCCTAATGCCCAGGTGCAATTACAATTAGCGCACACTGATCTGCAAAGAACCTTTTTTGATCTCCCGTTTGGAATTTGTGCAATACCATAACTCCTGTCCCCAGAGTATATGATGGATGTGCTTCCTGAGGTGCTGCTGTTTATGTAACTGGTAGTACTTTCTGGGGAGGAGGAGGCTGATGGTTCACAGTGCACCACTACTGGCAGGATATGCGATAAAAGTTTTTAAAAGAAATGACGCCGGCTACTTAATTTTAGACAAATATGTTATTTGCACAGGAGGATAAGAACAAGTAAAAAAACACAAAAAATAAATTGCTTTTTACTCTTTTGAGCTTTCTGCAAGCACATCTGTGTTGGAGTAGATGGTCTCAGAGTGAAATAAGAACAGCAAGAGCAGTGTAACAGTGTTGGTGTACATTTAGGGAGACAGTTTGCATTTGGTAGGTGTCTGAATTCAGTGCTGGAGAGCCCCTGGCCAGACAGAGTGCTTATTCATTCCAACGCCAGCCACATAACCAAACATGTCTCTTTACCAGCCCGCCGTGCCTCTTGTCCTCCTGAGACTCACCGCGAGATTTCGAACTGACACCACAGAGCAGGAGACATTGACAAGCCTAGAATTAACTGCTGTGTTTGAAGAAAATATCTAAGTAGCATATCTCAGTGAAGTATTTTTCCGTTATGAAACCTCATTTTCCATTCTTCCATTTCTTTCGGACTTCAAGTTAATTTTTTCTTTAGTCTGGAATTGTAAAGTTTAAATTGTGAGGCAACAGTGCGCTTCCGTTAAAAAGAAGCTGTGGTTTTTCTGCACTGAATGTTCAGCCTGTGCTGGGGCTCTCTCTGTGGCCTGGGCTCCTGCTGCTGTTGGAAACAGTTTGATGCCGTTGCCTGGTTCAGCAAGGCCTCACTGTGCCACCAGGCCTCACGCTGGGCTTGGTGCAGGAAGCCAGGGTTTGGATCACGACCCTCCCAGGCACTTTCTAGCTTCCTTTCCTGCTTACAACATCAAAACGATCACCTCAGTAGGGTTTACTGTCTTGTACCTCGTTAAGGGTGATATAAAGTGTGGCGAAGAGTCGTGGAGTCACGGCACAACTTTGTGAGCTGTGGCAAATCACTGCAAAGAAGGTGCCCGACGAGGCAGCGGGGAAGACTGTGGGATACCACCCAGCTTTACTCAAAATGTGTGTTTCATTCACAGTGTCCTTAACTCGAAGGAACCAGCAAGCGACAGACACTTGCTTCTAGATAAAGAGCGCAGTGTTGTTGGTGGCCAGTTAGTCGTCGCAGCATCGCCTAGCAACCCCCTCAGACTGCAGCAGCCTGTCAACACGCCGGCAGGAGCGCACCTCGGCGATGAAGCTACAGAAAAAATGCAAGCGTGTTTCAAGTATGTTTCTTTGTACCTCGAGGCTTAAAGCTATACACTCAGCCACGTGCAAACCCAAATCATTGCATTTGCAACACGTACACATTTAGGAATCAAAACTAGTGCAACAATTACCATTAAACAGTTGAAATTAGTGCATTTGCAGTACTGCAATGTACTGGGCTACATATTTCATCAATTGAGACAGTTCGCATAAAGGAAAGGAAAGAAGGAAAGCCATCTTAGAAAGACAGCTAACAGTCATTACATTATTCTTTAATTACAAAACATATTGTAATACTCTTGAAAATAAATCTTCTTTAAGTCACTTCTTCCTGAATTCAGTTCTAAAATAAGTGCTGAAAGTTCTCATTCACATTATTCTAAGCTACGTGCACAGTAGCAGAGTAAATGAAGTAAATGTGCATATGCTCAGTTCACAGGCCTGTCTCCCCCTGGGAGAGGCCACAACAGAGTGTCTGAGCTGAAGAAATGGAACGCCTGTTCAAAGTGACTCTATCACTTCCATGATGGCCTGCAATCTTCAATGTAAATATTTGTCTAAGATGATTTTTGGGGTCCCGAATATTTTCTGCTGGCTGAAAAAGTGCATCTGGTGGAGATTTAATGAATAAAACGTTGCGATAGCTCATCATTGTCGACACAATCTTCAATTAGTGGGGTAATGAAGCAGGGAGGTGATAATGAAAGGACTTGCAGAGAGCAAAGACATACTGGACAGCGGCATGGCAGTCACATCTGCTCACACTGAAGACTGGACTCCCCTGAAGATGCATAGGATATTGACGTTACACATAACAGTCACGCACTGCTGCCAGTTTGTATGTTTATCCTGCAGTTCAGCAAATTCAGGTCTGCACTAGACTAACTGCAGGTCTGTACCGTACTCCTTGACCAGCACTGGAGTTTGCTTGCAAAATGTTTTAAAAGCGCAACATTATGTCCCCACAAGTCTTCTGAATTTCTTTACTGTTCATCTTACTTGGTTAGCAAAACATGACTGACAGGATAAGCTGATTCATTTAGAAATGGAGAACAATTCTGAATACTAGGCAAAATATCTGATCACTACAATGAAATCCTTAAAATAAAAATAAATACCAGCAGTAACATTACAGTGCAAAAACACGTTCCCACAAATAAACAGACTTTTATGTGCAACTAAATGCATCTCAGGAATAATGAGATTATGACTTATTAAGACCTCACTGAAGGCAATATACTGTATGTTCGAGAACTGGGTTTCATTAAAAGCCATCAAAGAGCTTGTTGGTGCTTTTTCATTCACAGAGGACTGAAATCAGTACAGGAAGTGTCAGCACAAAAAAAAGGGATGGATGAACACCTGCAGAGAAGGAAAGTAGTGAAGATTATAATGTTTAAATTATTGCTCCCTGAAGCACAGCCCCACCTCGTGAGCATGAGCCCTGTGTTTGTCAAAACCATTCTTGGGCACCCGTCCCGATGTAAAGCCCAGTGCGCTGTGGGATTGCTCCTGAAAAGCAGCCATAATCAGATGAATAAAATAAAAAATTAGAACCACATATGTTCAGAGACCTCTAGTGCTTGTATCCCTCGGTGTCTTGCCTGTGAAAGGGCAGAGGCCTAATTTGGAACCTGATGATGCAGCAGTACATGGACAAAAACACAGACAGCACATTCAAAATGCTTCTTAATGATAATAAAATCTGATACCTAGCTGAAAACAAATGTTAAAGATTCAAGAAAACGTGAGAATTTGTGGAGCAGGACATGTCAGGAGGGACCACTGGAAGCTGTCCTCTCAGGCCACATGTGGAGGGAAGATTGGCTCTTTGATACTTGCCAGTGTGGAAAATGCTGTTGGACCCAGATGTTGCACACAAAGTTACAAGCATGTGCGGTCTCTCCTGCAGCAATGCTGAGTTCTCAGAACAGAGACCTGAAGTTTAAATCCTCACGAAACGTCAAATCAGCTTTCACGAGAAATCAAGAAGCTTTTCTTCAGTCAAGATCGTGGTCCTTGAATTTTCTTGCAGTGGAGTTCATGGTTTCACAGTATATTGCACTGTATGCTGTATCACCATACAGTTTTTATATTTAATTCTCAAAAAAGCAAGCCGTGGTGTCCCAGCTGAGAATAAATCATGAGGCCACCACTGAGTCCTAACCCACAAGTTGAAACTACTGTCTTAAATTAGATTTTTTTTACTATCTTTAGCTGTAAATTTAACCTTGCTTAGATGCCTGGGTTTCAGATGAGAGACAAAAGCATTGCATCATTGGGCAGTTTTATTGTTTTTTTTTTCTATGAGGAACATCCGTTTATTGAAAATGATTCTGGCAGTTTTATGGTCTTCTATGTCCTTATGGGCTTTGTCTATTCCTGCTATAGGAAGTGCTCTCTATCTCCATCCACTCTTTCACTCCACAGTGACATCCACCCTTTCTCCTTTGTTTTCTCCCTGTGGAAGGAACTCATTCTCCATTCTCTGTGCCCTGTTCAGTTATTAATGTATAGGTGTGTTTTGATGACCGCATGCAGGCAGTATACTTAGATTGTTACATGATTAGTTATGTATTTTAAGAGCTCTAGGCACTTATTTTGAGATCTGTGCATTTTAGATTTTAAACAATACTTTATTGCTATAATTAACTGAGAAGATTGTACTATATAGTTAATTGCTATATTAACTGAGAACACCCTTTAATATACCCTTTTATATTTATGGCAGCTGAATTCAGGTTTTATACCGATTAAAGCTGAAGCTGAATTTCATGACACATCTTCCCTATTTCTTCTCAATAAGATGGCCAAATAGCTTTGAGATTCGCTATAAAAATAGTTATAATACTGTCGAATTATTATTGACTGGATTATTGACTGGAATCATTTATAAAGACAAACTCTGTTAAACAGATGCTAACTTGTCTTCATTAATGTACTGCTGAGAAGAGGTCAGACTGTGTCTGGTGGCCTCCTGTGTGTAGGTTGTGCGACACGTCATTTTAAATGATCAATTGTTCAACTTTGTGCAATTCACGTGCGCGAAAATATATTATGTGAATCTTGTTTGTTCCTCATTGTTTATAGCCTGATTATTTTTGGCACCAAATTTTGTGTCTTAATTTACAAAAGGGAAGCCTTCCTGTCTGCCGGGGATTTCCGTTTGTTTTCTTTAATAAATAGCGAGACAGAGCACAGCCCATGGAGCGTATTTTCTTTTCAAATTTAGATAAACCCGGGGTTTCTTTTTTCCCCGACCGAGAAACCATTTCTCATGTCCCTGTATGGGACACGTTGCTCGAAGCCCCTGTGGCGACGGGGGTGTAATTGGGTGAGATTTCAGTTCTACAAGAAGGCGAGTCTAGGTTTCCAGCTGAGCTTGCACTGAACGCCGCTACACAGTGCTGCACCACACGTCCCCAGCTAGACACACCTCATGTCATGAGACGCAAAATTGTATCTCAATATTTTCAATGCGCAAACACAGAAGGGTCTCACCAGTATGTGTTGTCCGCACGTAACCAGGCTGGGCTTTACCGGAGCTGCAATGTCAACTCACTGAATTTCTGAAAAATATGTGCTATTGGATCACATTCCACATGTTATACTAGATATTCTGACTACAAAAAGGATGGTTCATTTCTATACTGTAAACCTTCAGTTTTAGGATTACCTGATTGCCTCGTTAAGATACTGGCCATTGCTGCCCCAGAGGCTGCATCCAGCCTGCAGCTGCAGATACAGAGGAGGTGGCAGGACTGCAGGAGCTCATCTGCACTCAGCACAGCAGCCTGGCTCCAGCCCCACCAACAGGTTGACTTCCAGGCCCTGTCCTGACAACCCTGTTGTTGCTGTCCGGGTTTAAAATGCTCCTCTGCAGGGTGATCGTTAGAGAAGGCTTGTTCACATTTTTATTGCTAATTGTTTCTAATCGTCAATAAAAAAATGTACCTTTAAAGTTGTTGCTGTCCCGGTTTAAAATGCTCCTCTGCAGGGTGATCGTTAGAGAAGGCTTGTTCACATTTTTATTGCTAATTGCTTCTAATCGTCAATAAAAAAATGCACCTTTAAAGTTTCATTCAGGGAAATGCGCATGCAGAGAAAGGACCTTTGCAATAGCCAAGAAACAAACACAGCACTTGCAAAGGTATCCTAACGAGGGCAAGATTATAGCAAATACTTCTCCAGAGCGGTATGAAATCTGGTTCTGCTTTGATTTTTAGCTCAAAGCAGTAGCGTACAGCCCACTGCAGACAGCAGGCAGCCCCAGCCTGTTGGCAGACCTCTGCGATAAGAGGTGCTGTGTGTTAATGGGTCTTTGCAAGGGAAAGCATTGAAGAAGTGGGATGATGCAGAATGTTTAAGAAACTGAACACAAAGAAGCAGTTTGTTCTCACAAGCCAGTTCTTCTGGCAGTTCTGTCCACTAAGGAGAGCAACCAGCTGAGGATCAATCTGTCATGCGCTGAAGCTTCTTTATTACTTATTAATCAGATCCACATGGGGAACACTCGGCCACCATCGCCATAGAACATAAACAGTCCATTTCATCATTAAAATTCTTTATAGGCCAGCAACACAGGGCAGGTACTAGTATTTATTACAACAGTTGGGTATTACAATAAAGGTATTGTTATGATAAAAGTATCTTTTTTGAAAACTAGGCAACGAGTGAACACAAACAAGTGCTAAACCAGGAGAAGCAAAGCATCCTGCAAAATATGAGACACCAGAGAGGAAAACAATACTGTACACCAAGGAACTGTCTCGAATCCAAAAAAGTACTTTATTTGCTAATTAGTCTGCTGTGGGCGGTAATTTTTCGAGCCATTTAATTATTGAATCACATAGCAGGCTTTTATTAGAGAAGAGCCAGCTTACAAGGACAAGTTGGTGCTGAGTGCTGGATCCCTCCGCAGTGTTGCAGGGCATTAACACAATGGAGCTTTAAAAACCCTCCGTCTACTCTCTCGGCAGGGAGCTGGTGAATTGTGGGAAACAGACTTGACTTTTACAGAGCCAAACATGCTTTGCTTAGGACTCTTTCTGGCTAAGGCTCTTATTTATGCACAGTCGGTGCCAATTTGCCTTTCTGTTTTTGAAGCAAAACATCAGAGTACAAAGGTTTGTCCATTTTGCAACACAACAACAATAACAGCACCACTAAGGCCTAGTTTATATCAAAGCTTCAGTCCAACACAAATTTCATGTTTCAAGCAGAGGCGGGTTTGAGCCAATGGAAACCCACTCTCAAGCATCGGATTCACAGTTTGTGACTCATGGGCAGTGGGTTGGCGTTTCCATCCAACCCAGGTCCAAATGAAGCTCACGACACATAGCACCTTGTCCTGTAACCTTACGTAGAGGTGCAGCACAGAAAAACAAAGTATCACTGCATCCCACAGAAGATTTAAAGCTTCCTAAATGTTTTAGTTTTCAGGCACTAAAGTCATTAGGATACAGAGAAGGAAGCAAATGATGTTTCAGTATGTGTTCTGGTCACCTCTGTTATGGTACTCATTTAAAGTTGAACACAGTCCAACACACAACACTAGCAATGGTCAAACCCATTTTAATCCATTATCTTATGAAATCCCCCTTAAATCTTAGAGTCCAGACATCTGTACAACCGGTTAATTGCAGAGAAGCTTAAAGATCTCAAATATTTCATAGTGAGGTCCATGTGAGTGTTTTTTTTTAAAAGAAGGGGGTTGTTCTACTGACTAATATAAATTACTGTGATACATTGGACTACTGAGAGTCTTGTATTTATAATTAGTAACACATATGAGTGGTATAATTTTCAGGAAACAGACATCTTTTTTACAGTTAGAAACAAAAGGAGGAAAGACAGCATATTTTGTTGCAAGGAAAGGGCACATTTCTGCATTTCTGGGCTTTTATTTTTTGTTCCTGTAAGTGGAAATTTATTAAAGTGCTCTTCATGTGTTGGGGGAGGGGGTTCACCTCCAGGAAGCACATCTGCATAACCGAAGTCTTCAGGTTTCATACAGATGTCTACAGATGTTCACGGGAGTTCTACATACAGTGCCTACACCAGATCATCCTAGTCTCATGTCAATAGATCTCGGCTGCCCAGGGGAGGCATGTCTGACAGAGGAAATCCCACATCACAAAGAAAGAAAAATAATGAAAATGTACTTTTCAGCGTGGTGTCTAACCACAACTAAATATTTCCTCCAGCTTTTATTTCCTGAAACTCAAGTGTAGTGAACAAATATTAAAAATGACAACATTCTAGCATTTGTTGGCTTGGCTGTTTGGAAATGTTTTCTGAGCCTTGTTGTGTAGCAGTTTCTGATGGTGAATTCAGCTGACTTTTCCAAAAGCTCTAAGTTGCATGAAGCAGATCATCACAACAGTCATAAATCTTCATACCTTAAGAAAACATTTCTGGAAAATGGATTTGAATAGAGATGGGGGCTGTTTTCGTGAAATGTGCAAACAAGAGAGTTTCTGTAGTAAAGCACCGTTGTCCCACTTTGTTTAATGACAACTGACAGCCAGGAATTTATGGAAATGTCTCTGCTTTTTCAGTTCCTTGACGATAAGCCATTAATTACAAGCTAAAGTAATGAAGTGTAGTATTTTTCATCTTTAAAGGGAAATAACAGTAACATTATAACTCTGCATTTTGTGCCACTGAATGTCATTATATAATTGTTGTGCACAAAAAACAAGACTGTATTAATAGGACATCAGCTGTAACAGGACAGACTGATTTACTCAGTGTACTCTGTATTTTATTTCGTTTAGAGTATGACTTTACAATTTACCTCCAGTCCCAGGGATAATTTTGTAGCACCTGCCTTTAATATGTTAGAACAACATCTGATTCATCTGATTTGTTCAGTTGTTATAATTTTCCCCTTACGATAATAACATTTCTTTTTTAGGGGTATGCACTGCTGTGACATTGACACCACTGGAGAACATTATCAGTAGAAATGTGGTCACTACTGATACTGAAAATCCGTGAGTAATGGAAAACCTTGTTTTGCGTCTTGTTTCCATATTTTTTCGAGAACAGTGTAAATAAAGTATAGAAAGCCAGTAGCAAAATGCATGATAAATGAATTTGAGTTGCGCTTTTTTGTTTGTGTCTGCTCTTCCCCAGATTGAAGAAGCTCCAGATGGGTTTCTTGGGAAACCGAGCTTGGGAACCATTAACCATTTTCACAGGAGGTGAAATTCCCCCCAGTGAGGTGTGGAAGCTCCGTACAGCAGCAGCTTGGGGAACCATGTTCACACCAGATCAGGACAGTGTGTTCCACCCTGGTACCAGGGGCGGGTTACACAACCATCTGAGTACAAAAGGCTTGATTTGCTGAAGGGTCATTGTGGCTGGGAAGACAGCGAACTTTGGGTTCTGCAAACACGGAGAGAATAATCCCCCAGGGTTTCGCACAAATATGCATAACTTGAAAACTGCAATAGGCTCAGAACCTTTGTTAAAAATGGATCGGGGGGTCTGTAAAGTGCAGCTATTAATCTAGTGTGAAACAGGGGCAAGGTGAATGCCCTGCAGGGCCATAATATTGGTCAGTGTTATGACAGCAAGAAAATTAAAATAAACAAAAACTAATGACTGTTTTGTTCAGGACAAACTTAAAAAAATAAACAACCTAATCAACAGCTCCTTCCTCACAGTTTTGAAAGAAAATTACCTAAGAAGATAAAGGCTGTGTTGAGGCTGTTACTACTGATCTGGTGTTCACTAGTGATCATACTACAAAATACAGCCTCTCCCGTGAACCAGGTGGCAAAGATAATGTATTTCCTTTTCTCATTCCCCATCTTCAGCAGACAAGAGTCTATTTAATGTCACACGCCTGAAGGCCCCTATTGAAACTCCCCATTTTAAACCTGACGCCCCTCCAAAATATGCTATCATTTTAATTAATTCTATTGTGAACTAAAAAAAAATGTTCCCAGAATGGACCATCAAGAGACTTGCTTAGCCTAAATGGCATTACTGAACACAGAACTGACTGCTGGGTAAGAATGTGATGGCATGGGTGCTATTCAGGGCCCTCACTACATTTACTGGTCATCCTCTTGACCCCTGAGGTCCTGGGACCTGGGTGTTTAGCGCCACTGCTATTGACTGTACAATACCGACAACCTCAATACTGTTCGTTTTCCTTCCCCCCGTGTGCTGTCTTGGCAAGAACTCTGCCTCTTCAGACTGCCAATCCTCAGCTCCTGAACTCCATTGACATCGAGGCCATTGAAGGCGCCGAAAACTTGTCAATGGAAAGCCTTCTTCGAAACACAAAGCTTGTTTAACGCTAATTGAAGAACATGTAGCAAGCATAATTCATTCCTGTTGGATGTGAGGTTTTTTTTTTCACACAAAGCTGTGGGACAGAAGTACAAGAAAACGCACTATGTCAGTCAAACCGAGCTGAAGGCTAGAGTGAAATGGCATTATTTGAAATGCTGCAGCAGCAGTGCGGCGTATCAATAAGGCCTGCGGACAACTCAGAGGGCCACGGGCTAGGATGTCAGGTGAGATGCTGCTCTTGTATCCTTGAGCTCTGGTAGCCCCAGGACTCGCCCTGCTGCATAAATGTGTCTCCAGGGTGACATTGTAAATGAGAATTCGTTCTTAGTTGACCTATGTAGGTATAAAAAAGGAGTTAAACTGACTGAGATGGAAGGCTGAACACTGTAAGTGATGGTATCTGAGGTTTTGCTCAATGGAAGAGACAGGCATTTGATCTTTTTTGGATCAGGTCACAACTTCAGAGCTGCTCGGTGGATGTAGTTTTAGTAGATTATAGGATCTATAGACACAAACTCCTTTTAAATAGACCTTGTTCCCTTGCCACTGTTTTTTTTTAACTTACTTTCTCAGTGGGATCAACTTTGAACAACCGGATTTGACAGCATTGTATCATTTTACGGCATTTCCAATGCGGGACGATTCCCGAGCTTGAAACGCCGTGTCTTCTGAGAACATTACCTATTTCATAGACATATGAAACTATATACCTCAGACATTCGTTTTAGTGGTACCAAATTATTAGCTGCTCAGCGATTCCTAATGAAGCAGAGCGCGGTCTTGGTATGATTAATGGCGCTATTGAAAAGCCAAAAATGGACTCGGGTCACACAGGCATGCAGTGTGGACGTTTGCCCATTTCCTCCTTCGGCTGTTGAGTAAGAGGATTTCTTCACAACAATGTGCTGGTCTCTTCCAGGGGTTAAATTCCCCAGATAAGAGATTGTTCTCATAAATGCGCTCAGCAGTTTAAAAAAAAGGAAACGTTTTTTGTTCCAAAGAATGACCCATCTCAGCACAGCAGGGAACGGTGCCTGGTGGAACCAGACTCCCTGTGAAATGGGGGACATACAGGATGGAGGGAGACTCGTTGCCCCGTTCCTGGCCCTTCTCTGGCCCTTCGCTGAGGAGAACAAGCCTCTGGACATCACAGAGCCCATCCCCTCCAGACAGGTGGCAGCACATTTCCACTGTTTACTTTGGCTCCTGTCCCCAGACGATAGGTCTCCATCAGCAACGCAGGGGATTTCCTTGAGCAGAGTGTGTTGACACTGGACACCCTCAACAGTGTCGCATCGCCGCAGGACGAAGCTACAAAACAAGGAGATTGTGATATCCTCTGTTCATGACCTCTCTTGTACATTATGCTATTTTATATATTATTGAAGTTTGCTGGTTGATTGCCTTGAAATCTTTGCTATATAATTCTCTTTTTGTGGGTCTTGTGAGGGTCTACATCACTGCAGGAGCCCCTCAATGCTCCAGTTGTCCTCCTGGCTTAGAAGGTACTGCAGTTGTGAGGGGAAACATCCCATAACAAGAATGGCAAGAACGCTCTCTCCTAGCAAGCCACGAGAAAATGACACAGAAACATTGTGTTATGTTTTTTATTGCAAGGTCTAAAACACAGAGGAGCGCCTTTTAAACACACGTCATTGTGTCACAGCTTAATTTAGAGCCTTTCGGTGTCCCGATATTTTCAAAATTTTACTTCAGCTCTGCGGTTCCTGTCTCCCAACACTTCAAGCCTTTGAGATATCAGGGCACCAATGAGGGCTCTTTTCTGACAGGTAGTATTTCAGACTACCTTCACACTTACTGTACTTTAGCTTCCCACAGTTCCAGAAATGTACAAACATACACCTGGTTCTGTCTCGTACCACTCTCACAAAAGCTGCAGAACACAGATTGGTAATTCAATATCCATGCTTATTAGTTTCTACATCCTTCGAGGATAAACGTACAAGGCCAAATAAAGGTTATTTGTAATGATGAATGATTTAAATCCCTGTTATGCATCCAATAAATGCAGTGAACAAGAATAGTTTCAGGACAGAAAACGTAATCCAAGGAGGTACTTCTCAAATGAGACAGCCACAGCGAATCTGAGATTCAGACATCACTGTCTGCTGACACAGATCTGAAGCTAAAGGTTGAAATATCTGATTTAAACTGCTTACTTGATCCTTCGGCATTATTCTAGAGCACATGATGCATTTTGATTTATGTTTTTAAATCAATCTCAGAAGCGAAAAACTTTTATAAAGATCATTTACGAAGCTAATAACTCTGACAATACCGTAAAGAATGAAGTACAGCCTGACAAAGAATATGCTTACTCCCACTTTCAGCTGCTGAGTCTTTTTTGGTGCTTATTAGTGTATAACTACCTGTATATAAGCACTTATAATGAATGATCAATATCATATAATGATTAATTAATGGAAAAATGGAACTATATATTTATACAAGGTGTGTGATGGTTGGAATTACTGGTAGAAAGGCCTGCAAAACCTCCACTTTTGTAAGTAGTTTCTTTAAGCAGAATATGTTTCATAACTGATATACATTTACATTACATTTAGAATTCAATTTCGCAACCCTTTTCCTTTTCAGAAACATGCACTAAATTTGATTTGGAAAATATTTGTTTATTTTTAATCAGACCAAAGTTTAACCATATTTCCATAGCATTCACAGCCTATTGCTATTTAAATATCCCTGAGGGTATAATTAGTTGCTGTCTAATACTTGGTCTCGTCTTAGGGCATATTCCTATAGGGTTTTCATATCTCAACTTTGTTTCTAGGTAAAATAGAGGTTCCTGTGTTTGTACTGGTTCCTGTCTCCTGCTGTCACCCTGCAGCCTGTCGCCGTTGTTTCCCAAGCGTCTCTGTTGAGCTAACCTTGTCTTGTAAGAACAAGCAGCATCCACCCTCTGTTTATTGTGCTCAAAACTCTGTGTACTGCATTCCCAAATACAAAACTCAAGTGATCAGCACATCCCTGGAGGAAAGGCTTTCCCTTGTAATACTTTGTCATGGTAAACATCCACAGCAGCATTCCAGAGTTACGTACTGTACATTTCTCATGCTTATACTTCATTGCCCCTGCTGAAATTGTCTTTGAACCTTTGCTAGGAGCCAGCAGGCCCCTCATGCAGAATGCACCTTCATGGGCACTCTGAATTTACAATGCCAAAAAGTAGAAACCTTATTAAAGAATACTTCCAAGCAAACCTTGGCCCACTTAATAATTACAAGTTCCGAAGCCAGGGCTTGATGGCGGGTTTCCACTGGGGTGAAGCCTCTGGCAGAAAGAAAGAACCCATCAAGCACAAGCCTAGTAATTTCCGATTGCTGGGCAGGTAAAAGATTTGATTTATTGTAGGCCGTACATCATGGAACACCTTAGACCTTGGCAGGCAAAAAAAATTAAATGCAATCTTAAACTATCACAGAACACTAAACCATTCAACATGTGTGTGTGGTCCTAGAGAACACTTGTCAATGGGAATCCTTAAATTTCCCTTGCTCCAGTTTGTATTGTCAAATGTTTCATAGCACAATTACTTTTATGTGCTCACTTATGGTTAATTCATTTTCATTTTTAGTTGTTATCTCCCCCATTTTAATTTGGTTCTTAATACATATGAAAATCAGCTGGAACCTTTCGAACGAACTGTTGTGTCATTTTTGAACTTGTGCAATTACTTGAAGTTAATCTACCCGATTCCCAGACTGTTTTCATTTGATCTGCCAAAATTGTCTTTTTCTTGTGTTAAAAGTGACTCATCTCTAAACATTGCATAACTCTGGATATCAGTAATTTGCACAGTTTATAATGAAAGATACAGACAGACTGCAACTGAGCATATACTGCATAATGTACGATCACAAACTTTAATACCATATATAGAAATGGAGTTATGATTTAAATTGGACGTTTGAGAAGATCAATGCCATTCGTATTAGAACTGGAATGCTAGAACAATACATTTTTACAACCTGGTTTCCTGCGCCCTTGTGTTCCTCTGGATCTGTTACCAATAATTCTGTTCATCTTAACAAAATTTTCATCCTTTCCAGAATCAGAAATAATCTTTAAAGCCTTGATTTTTCACAAATGTTGAATATTTGTACAATAATTCTAAAAGTAAGGGTATTAACCCTAGTTAAAGCTGTGCTGTCCTTCCTGAAGTTCCCCCTTACAGTTGTTCATTTGGCAAAGTACAGGAGTGTCTCACTCCTCCTCCTGATCTGCTGTGCAGTGGGGCTGCTGGTGCAGAATGGCCTCTGTGTGTCTCCCAGATGGGGAGAAGCTGCACTTCAGTAAAGGATAAAGTGCGTCCTTTTTATATTTGTTGGGTTGGGAGAGATGTTATATGAACCTACGATA